GTATAGAATCCTTGAGAAGGGTGAGTCATGCCTGCAAGTACTAGCAGACTATTTGACTCAGTGATAACAGGACTCTTCCAAAATCCTGTCCCCAGAGCAGTATCTTGTGACATATACAAGCCCCCTTGTCTCTGTGACAGTACACTCTTTGCTGATCCCTTCCTGAAACAGGCTTCCATTTCCAATCACCCACCTAGGAAGTGTAAAATTTACCTATGGCCTACAAGTTCCCACTTCCAGATGTCCCACCATTTTGAGCCAGAACACTGAAAGAACTCTGCTCACTAAATTCCCAACCTTGTCTCTCACTTTTAAAATCCAAATGAAAGAACCTCTGTACCTGATCACCCTGAGAAAGACATATTTACCACTTCTCCAGGCCTAGGTCAGACGCATTCATACTCTGAAATAAAATGCATTGATTATTATATCTGCAGAGTTGGTTCCTTCTGTCAACATGTTTAAATGTTTTTATTTCAGATGGGGTATATTCTCCCACACTTCCTTATTGATAAGAAAGATCCAGACCAAGGGGATGTTCGCAGCTTCTGCTGTGGAAAGCTACATATTAGATCTTGCACATGAGCAACTGTTGGTCCATTTTGCTCCTTTTTCCTAACATGGCTGTGTGCTTCTGTAAACCTGCTTATGCTTCCTATGAGCAAATAGCTTGTACTAGCCATACAGAAAGCCGCATCTGGGGCAACATCCCGTACCTGCTACTGTCTTTGCTAACTAGCTCGAAACCCTTTTGTTTAGCAATGTAACTGCTTGCATGGAAACCCCACTCCCCTCAGAAATAATTAACCTTCTTTTTTATTTTCTTTTTTGGAGAGGTTTTTGCTATAGGGTGCGTGAGCTCGCCAAACAGACAGAGACAGAGAGATAAAAAGCAAGAAATCACCCCCTGGGGGGATGGCCATGCCGCAATCCCTTCTCCTCCATTCTCCTCTCAGGATCATGGGCATGCATGCACACGCGCATGGCGTGAGTTTAAGCCACCGGGTACGGGACGTGAACTGCAATCAACTATGAGGGAGTCCAGTGACATAGCCATTACGCTAACTGCTGGTCCCAGAAATAATTAATCTTCTTGATTCAGCTTCTTTAACTGCTTGCACAGAATCCCTTGGTAACTGACCCCCTATAAAAAGACTACTCCAACTTTTGCTGGGGGTACAGTTCTGACTCTTGGCTCCCAGGTCTCAGGCTGTAGTCACTGGCCAGCTAATAAAGACTCCCTTTAACCTTAATCTGGCTTTGGTGGTCGTTCATTCGGTAGCACTCTACAACACTGCCTTACAACCACCATTAATGCAGCATACATCTCATAGTCCTTTTTTTCATATCCATATATTTACATAAAAGTTAATTAATTATTAAGGCAAAGGGGACACATTAAAAGCATTACTTTATACTTATTTCATTATTTGTGAGGTTAAATACGCATGTGGGTTTGTTAGTCATTTATTTTCCTTTTTACCTAAAAAGAAACCAGGAATGCGTACTTCAAGAAAACCAGCCAAAATAATTACTCAGAAGAAAATGATTGATTCTGGATGATCATAGTGAGGAAAGATTTGCACCTGCTTGTATCTTGTGCCTAAAAATATTAAGAATATGTTGCGTCTTTCAGAACAGTTTGGTAGGACTTTCTGGCTATGTCCTCATTACCAGTTACAGAAATAAACTCCCTTGTTATCCAGCCTCGGCCTCTGTGAGAAGCAGTATCTGGACTTAGTTGGAAATACTAGAAGCCTAGACCTATGCAACACAGGGTAAACCATGAGGAAAGAGTAATAAAAATGGGATTCACCTAACTTCTAAGCTGGTCTCTTGGGAACAGACCATCTGCAAAGAAAGTTTCCTTTCCATCCAGACCAGTGTCCACAGGGGAATCTGCTTACAGGTCAGAGTAACAGTCAGGGTAATGAGCTTAATGAGCAGGTAGAGGGAGTTGTAAATATCTCCTTTGCTGTTGTCCTTCAGAGTGCACAGTCAGGCAAAAAGAAACATGGTGGTTTGTTTGGAATACCCAATTCTGGCTCAGGAACTGATGCTTGCCTCTTCCTCACTGTCTGGTCTGGGACACAGCTTCAGTCTCCATCAGAGACCACCTACAGGGGAATTCAGGCTTCCACATAGAGGCCATCATCTCAGAGACCCCACAGAGGTGAGTCAGAGAGCACAGCACACACTACAGCAGCAGATCAGAGACAATGGGAGCTGAGAATGTTTACCCAGGTAAAATGAGAGTTAGGCCAGCCTAGCACACATCTGAGAGAGGTCTGTGGTTGCTTGCTTAATTGTGCATTTATTGCTGATGCTAAATAGAAAAGAGACATTGGACTAAGTAAGGGAGGGGCCATTGCTCACAGTGAAATGATGGTAATGGAATTCCAAATGATAGTCATGTGTTTGATAATATCTTTGACTGGACTCATGAATGCAATCAGTGTATTCATGCTGAGAAAATTCATTTTACATCTTCTGATGGTGTACATTGATTAAATGTAAAAATTAATAAATATAAATACATTTTTTTAAATAATGGGATCAGCAATTTTCATAATGGATATATTGTTGTACTCCCAGATTGTTGACCATGGTTTGAGTCCTGGAACTGGCAGCTTAAAACTGTTTGCATGCCTAAAATCCCAAGAGGAGCAGAGAATGCATCATGGCCAACTTTCTTGAGGGGTGATTTCTCACCATCCATCTTGCTGTCTCTCCCTCTCTCTCTGGCAAGCACATGTGCCCTATAGCAAAAATTCTCTCTTATAAAAAAAGAAAATAAATATAATATTACCATCTTTAAAAAAAAAGAAAAGAAAAGAAAAGAAAAAGAATGTGAATGGGAAGTGTTAAGAGCTTCCAGTAAAGCTGACCAAGTCCAAGATATTTTGAAAGTAAGAGGAATGGAGAAATGGAGTGTTCAGTATGGAGGGATATGAAATGCAGTAAAGCCATATCTTTTTTTTTTTTTAGAGAGAGAGAGCAAGCTTTTTCTCAAGGGTGTGTACACTCTCTGGAGACAGAGAGATACAGAGAAATAGAAAGAAATCATCCCAGAGGGGATGGCCTCCCTACAATCCCTTCTCTTCTTGAGATTTTGAGCATACACACACAAGCACCCAGCATGAATTTCAAGCTTCCAAGTTGGGGACTTTAATTATATTTGGTCATGTGGAAGTCCAGCACTCTAACTACCATGCCACTTCCTGGCCTGGGGCCATATTATTTTTATTTCTAAAATGGGGATCTATTCACCTATATTTCTGTATTGAAGAGAAAGAGCCAGTCCAGGGTGATGTTTGCAGATTTTACCATATAAAAGAAGTTCCTGAAGCATACATTCTATAGCATCTTCTCTCCCACTGGATGTTTACATAAAAAGTACTTAATAAATTATTAAGTGAAAAAGGAGCATATCAAAGAACTTTAATTTGTAATTATGTCATTATCTTTGATACTGAATACACTTGTGGGTTTGTTAGCTGTTGATTTTCATTTTTACAAATTGTTTGTAAAATCCTTTGCTTTTGAAAATGAGTTCAGTGGGCTTTTATTTCCTTCTCACATTGTTTGAAATGCATTATTACACTTTACCACTTCACTAAAGATTATCTTTCTCTCCCATAGCTGTGTTTGCTTATGTAGATATATGTATATGTATGTATGCATATATGTAAAATGAAATTATGCATAATGCTGCTTCCTGAATTTTAAAAGACTTATTGTTATATTCTTTATATGGAGGATCTATTGCTGAGTGAAGTAAGCCAGGCTATGAAAGAAAGATATTGTATGTATCTACTTAATATATACCGACTATCCGCACTCTATGGTAAAGAGTAAAATATTGGAGGACATGAAAGCAGTGAAAGTACTTAACGAGAATAAGACAGTGTGGAATGGGGAGGTGAAGAGAAGAGCATAGAGAAAGATAGCAAGAGAACAAATAGAGAGGCAGGATGTTAATGGGAAACATAGGGCTTATTACCTGTTGATGATGACATGTATAGTATTCTCAACTGGATTGGTCTGAGAAGTATTTCATGATGGATAATGTCTTTTTACAAGCAAAATGAGGAATAGTGATTGACTGTTTAAAAAATAATTAGAATAATAATAATAATTATTGGGAAAAATAATAAAAAGATATTGAATGATGAAGTGGGGAAATTAATGTCTCTGTATTGACTGACATGCATGGCATTCCCTTTTAAAAAAACAATGTAATACACTGTAAAGTTATATGCAATCCAATGTAATATAAACAAGATTATGATGATAATAAAAAATAATTAATTTTTTAAAAGTCTTTGGAAATTTAATATGAAATTAATGACTATGTTGATGTCATTAAATTAATACTATTTGACATTGTTTATCCAGAAGTAAAATTTAAATTCTCAATTTTATTCAATGATATAGTTGTATCAAAATCACTATATTTAGTCTAATTACTTACTCTTTGTCATTTTTTTCCAGAAGTTCTTAGCTTCTCTTAAAACATTTCTGTCTATATTTTGCAAACACTCATGTTAATACATTTATTATGCATGAGTAGAATCCTCTCCACATAGTAAATGCTCTTTATATTTTTACTTTTTTATCTTAACATTTTAAAACGACAGGTAATAGTTGTATCTTTAGGGACTATATATATATATATATATATATTCTAGAAAAAATATGAAAGTACTTCAAAATATTTGTGAAAAATGGAATTAAAATAAGAGTTTGTTCTTGGACAAAATTTTTTTAAATCTATGCAGTTTTTTTTTCTTTCATAACACATTTTACATTAACTTTTGGAAGACCCTCCTGCCTCATATAAGGGATAAACTACTTTGAAAGTGCAATGAAATCTATAAATTATTTTCTTATTTTCAAAAGAATGATTTTTACATTTCAACAATGTTGGTAATATTTCTTTGTATAAAAAGTAATCATGTTTTTTTTTTTTTCTCTTTCTTGATAGTTCTGTTTACCCCATGGAACTAGGGAATGACACACAGTTTTCAAAATTTCTTCTTCTGGGACTTTTGGAGGAACCAGAATTGCAGCCCCTCATATTTGGGCTTTTCCTCTCCATGTACCTGATCACTGCATGTGGAAACCTGCTCATCATCCTGGCCACCATCTCAGACTCCCACCTGCACACCCCCATGTACTTCTTCCTCTCCAACCTGTCCTTTGCTGACATTGGTCTTACCTCTACCACTGTCCCAAAGATGCTGGTGAATATCCAGACCCAGAGCAAGGTTATCACCTATGCAGGCTGCATCAACCAGATATTCTTTTTCCTACTGTTTGCAGGGTTGGACATCTTTCTGCTTACCATAATGGCTTATGACCGGTATGTGGCCATCTGTCACCCCCTGCACTACACGGTCATCATGAACCCTCGACTCTGTGTGTTGATGATTCTGGTGTCCTGGATTATGAGTGTCCTGCATTCCCTGTTACATAGCGTAATAGCATCATGGCTGTCCTTTTGTACAGATTTGAAAATCTCCCACTTTTTCTGTGAACTGAATCAGGTGGTCCACCTTGCCTGTTCTGACACCTTTCTTAATGACATGGTGATCTATTTAACAGCTATGGGCATAGCTGGCAGTTCCCTCACCTATGTCTTTTACTCTTATTCTAAGATAGTTTTCTCCATTTGTGCAATCTCATCAGCTCAGGGGCGGTATAAAGCCTTTTCCACCTGTGCCTCTCACCTCTCAGTTGTTTCCTTATTTTATTGCACAAGCCTAGGTGTGTATATTAGAGCTAGTGCTACCCACAGCTCACACTCAAGTTTAACAGCCTCAGTGATGTATGCTGTAGTCACCCCCATGCTGAACCCCTTCATCTACAGTCTAAGGAACAAAGACATAAAGAGGGCTCTGAAACCATTATTCACAGGAAAGGAATAATCAGGCCCTTTTTCAAGGGTAGATAGGATTGTATGGATAAAATCTGCAGAATCAGAAATTGTGGCTCTTTAATCAGATTGTGGAATTAGAATTCCATCCATCTCTCTAGTTTCAATTGATTTAATGTCTGGTTTTATACAATTTATTCTTTTTAAAAGCTTTCTATTCTTGAGGACCAGCAGGTGGCATGGTGGTTAAGGCTCTGGACACTTTCACATGACTGACCATGGTACAAGTCCCAGACCTGGTGGCTTGCTCTCTCTCTCTCTCTCTCTCGTCAAATTAAAATAAATGAATGATTAAAGAAAATTAAATAAAATATTTTTTTAAAGTTTCTGTTATCCCTGAACAGTCTCCTCCTAACAGCTTTCCCCTTGTCATTTATCTACTTTTCATATTTATTTCCAAACTAAGATCAGGGACAATTTGGAGATTCCCATCTTCTTCATACAGGTTGAGCAGCCCTTATTCAAAAATCCAAAACCCAAAATTTTCTAGCATCAAAACTTTCTGAACAAAAGTAGAAAATTTCATACTTGACCTCATGTGATAGATCACAATTGAAATGCTGGAATGCAAAAAGATTGCATAAAATTACCTCCAGGTTATGTGTATGAGCTGTATATGAAACATCAATGAATTTTTTTGTTTAAACTTGAGTCTCACCCCAAAGAACTATCATTATGCAATGCTAACATTCAAAAATTTTTTTAAAATGTGAACTCCAAAACACTTTTCTCCCAATGAATTTGGGAGAAGAGGAACTGATCCTGTATCATGGTGTGTTTATTATTTATTAACTTAGAGTTGGTGGGACCAACAGATGGTGCAATGATAAATCACTATAATCCCACATAGTGGACAGCAGTTGAGTCCCAGACCCAGCTGCTTAAAACGTATTCCAGGTGTATGTGCATGTATGCCCAAGATTCTGAGGGGATAGTGGAGAAGGGATGGTGGTGTGGCCATCCCCTCTGGGGGGTGTCTTCCCACCTTCTGTCTATCTGTCTCTCCAGTGAGCACACACTCTCTATAGCAAAACAAAATCTCTCTAAAAAAATTATGCTTGGCGATGATAAGGTCATTAATATAATTTCATCATACATGAATACATGAGACCACAGTTTTTTATTTCTGTCTATCATTCCTTTTACAGTCACTACCTTAATTGCTTCCCGTGGTATTATAGACTTTCACATACTCTCATGTTCTTTAGCTGGTCATGGCATCTAATTTTCCTGATTAAAATCCTATCCTTTTATACAACTCTGTGTCCACAGTTCTTACCACATTCCCTGCCAAAGAGTGGAAAGGTAAAAGTTGCTTAACAGGGACCAGCAAGTGGTGTGGTGACTAAGACACTGGACTTCCACATGGTCAGCTGCAATTTAAGTCCCAGACCGGGTAACTTGCTTTCCC